AAACCCGGCAACGCCACCACCATGTGACGGTGACAAGAGATGAACAAGGATTCAAAACTGTAAAACGTTAATAATATAATTTAAAAAAAAAAGGAAAAAAAACGTAAAACGTGGCGTAAACGACATTTACCGCCAAGACCATGCGGTTCTCCCGATGCTGACGTGTCAGACTCTCTGATTCGGTTTTGTTTTTTTTGGTTTTTGTTTTTTTTTGTTTTTTCTTTTTTTTCTTTTGGGGCAATGAGCGCGTTTCTTCTGAGCTCAGTGCGTGCGGTTGAGCATGGAAATTTCTGTTGAAGCATGCACGAAGGACAGTCTATGGCCTCTGCTTATCACTATTTTTGGGAAAAATTTCGGTTTTGAGTTCTTATACGATGAGTAGGTGTGGAGTCTATTTGATAGGTTTAATTAGACGGCATACTCAAGATGGCACTGTTTGTACTAAACTAAATTCATGTATTAAAAAAAAAAAAAAACTAAATTAGTAAACTCAAAATAGAACAGGCAGAAAAGAAAAAGAGAACTGACTGGAGTCTGTTCTCCGACGTGTCTCTTTGAGTATGTTGCAGGCAAAAAAGTGAAGGGAAAATTAAAAAGAAAAAGAAGTGACGTGATTTATATCGGAAGAATGAACCTGGATTCGGGCAGGAGCCAGATGGGCGCAAGAGGTGCCCTACCCAAAGAGAAAAAATGGAAAAAAAAAAAAGGGCGTGGACTGTTGCCTGCACGTGCCCGGCAACCACCCGGACGATTTGCACGGGTGCCCGGTCTGGCCTGCACGGCGGGGCACCAAAGGTAGGTCGCCTAGCTAATTAGTACATTACTATTTATATATCCATATCCGTTGCACCTACGCAGGCTCCTGCAGTGTATTGCCCGGGGGGGTCAGGTCCCCCACATACATGGGGAATTACGTATGTCGCCAGCTCTAGACGGAATTGCGGTCAGATACTTCCACATATGATCTATAATGGTATACGGTCCAAAATTCATCAGGAAAATAGAAACAAAAAAGACATCAAGGCCCATCGTAGCATTTTTTTAATTTTTTTTTTTAAAATCATCGTAGCATTACAAGGATCTACGGCCAGAAACAGAGAATCGAAGTAAATGGGAATTTTGCCCCCACGCGACTTTTTTTTTTTTTTTTTTTTGGAGAAAAAAACGAGCCCAGCAGTACCCCGGGCTTCCATCAACAGGGACAAGGTCCCACTTGCGCCGATTACGAGATTTCGGCCGTTGATCTTTGCGATCTACGGTCAGTATCTCTTAATTCGTGCAAGTGGGACCTCGCCCCAGGATACAGAACCTTGCCCACGTTTGTAATACAGACCTTGCCAGGCTTTCGTTGTGACTTTTTCTGTTTTTTCCCCCCTGCCTGACTGCAGACGGTGGGATGAACCGACAGTCTGTAGAGTCTCGCTCCCATCTGACGAAGAGAGGTCAACTCGTCTGCTAATAATCCCATGCGAATTACTGTAATACAGAGAAGCATGTGCCCATTACTCCAGCAATTGCACCAAAGACTAGACATAAAGTACCTATATCATTGTTTAAAAAAAAAAAAAAAAAAAAAAAAAACTATATCCTTGTGGTCTTTGGAAAACAGCCACCAAAGATTAGATATCAAGTATACCTATATCTATATTCTTGTGGTTTGTGGAAACCAGCCATCTCTGTGGGAAGAAAAAAAAAATTACCAAAATAAATAAATAAATAAATAAAATTAAAAATTAAAAAAATTGCCATTTCAGTTGTGTTCCCCATCTTTCAGTAATAAGTAAAATGCTTTGACTGATCATGTGTTCGCAGTTTTGGAAAGCGAAATTCGTCACAAACAGTGTTCGCGAAAATAAAACTGCTCTAGCGAGGCCTGTACGCACCGCCCGTCAGCGTGATTACGGTCAGATACAGCCAGCACTGTCGGAATTGCGGTCAGATACGTTCAGAAAAGCGCTAGTGCGAGTATGATCGGTAAAAAGTTAAAAACTATAAAACAGGCTTCGCTCTTTTGAAAGAAAAGAAGAGGGAAAAAAAAACAACGGCCTCGCTGCACTACGCAAAATAGCCTCCATGACCCAACGTACATATGGTCCGATACATTCGAAAAAATCGGATCAGTCCAAATGTATCTGGTCTCCAGGCCAGTCCACATACAATTCGAAAAGTCGGATCAGTCCAAATGCATCTGGTTTCCAGTCCAGTCCACATACATTTCAAATGTCGCGCAGTGGATCGAGGCTCTGTACCAGTCCGGCCAGCCATCAAATCATCAAAAATACCTTATCCCATCGGGATCGGGATTTCAAGACCCAGACGCGCATGCACACACAGCCGCGAAATTCACGGCGAAGATATGTAAAAGAAGAATCTCGAATCTGGTCTGAAAACAAGATATATGAACGGTACACACCGCTGCCATCACAGGCAATGAGGCCAGCAGCTATGGCGTCCCCACCTTCCTCAAAACGCGAAACAAGAAACTGTGTTATTGATTTTAACTTCAAAAATTCAAAAAAAAGAAAAAAAAAGGGCGACGGCCTTGAAGTATCATCAGCCGTCGCGCTTTTTTTTTTTTTTTAATTTTTGGTTAAAATCAATAACACAGTCAGATATCGATCCCTGTATGGGATATACTGACATGAGCCGTATTGATAATTTGATATCACTTATCTGCACCGCCACATATCCATCTCCATATCCAAATTCCTATCCACAACCAATCAGTGTAAGAATGGATATATATACATATCGTCACAAATTTATCAGAGCGCAAATGCGACAAAAAGAAATAAATTCAAGACTCCCCCTGTTCAAAACCTCTCGCGTACAAGGCCGCCCACGTGGAGATATATATATACCTAATTGGGTCACAATCCGTAGCCGCCAAGGGTAAACTAATCCTTATCGATACCCAAATCGAGATATTTGCTTATTACAGTAAGTATATCTGAAACAATTTCATCATATCTTAATATTTAAAAAAATGGGGTAACCAGAGCGCAGTTACGATTTCAGTTTTAAATCCAGTTCAGGTATCCCTCGAATACAACACATCACCACCCTACCCTAAAACTAGGTTGTATACATTCACGATTTCCTCTCTAGATTTGGCACAAGATTCGCGAAATTGTGACTGAGACGCATTTCCAAACTGAAACCGTAACAGCGCTCTAGTTTCCCCCTCAACCAAAAAAAAAAAAAAAAAAAAAAAAAAAAAAAGACTGCCTACATGCTGCTCCACTCTTGGGATATTCTCGTGGATTTTAAGATTACTACAGTAATTATCCAATCGGTCGGATATAGATTACTCGTCATCGTATCCATATTACTAGTACCGTCTTCCCCCGAATAGAACGTATGGTCATTATCGCTGTACCTAGACCGAACGTTGCGCCACATACAAGCTATAATACCCATACGTTGTACTCGAGGGTAGACTGTAATCATCCTAGCCGATATTGATTACTCGTCATCATGTCCGATATAGATTACTAAATACAGAACTACCGTCTTCACGCGAATACATCGCCCGGTCATTATTGCTGTATCTAGACTCAAAGTTGCCCCAAATACATACAGCTATAATAACCGCACGTTAGTCAAAAAAAAAAATAATAATAATAATAATTAAAAAAAAAAACGTTCGTTGTATCGGGTCAAAATGGTAAATCATCTTATCCGAAACGCTTGGGATATTTATTCTCCTGGCTGCCCTCCCCACCATTCAACTGCGAGTTCTGCTGCCGCCACCGCCGTCGTCAGGCGCTGAAGTGGCTTTTTCAGTCATTTTTGTTTTCTTTTTTCGATTTTTTTGTTTTTTTGTTTTTTTGCCCCCCTTAAGATAGGGCAACGGCCTTGAGATATCATCATCATCATCATCATCGACCTGACCGGCCCCAGGTAATTCAGAATGAATTTTAATCTGTTCCTCTGATTGCATCTGCTGTCTGGAATCGAGATTGGGTATGAATTTCAACAGTTCATCGGTGTGTACCCAATTTCGTTAAAACCCTTGGCCTTTTCAATTTCCTTGTCCCCCCCTTCTTTTTTTTTTTTCGTTTTCACGTTCCTAAAATGATTACCAAAAAAAAAAAAAAAGGGGGTTTGGTGGCTGAACGCCTCACAGGCAAGAACTCTTTTGCTCATAAGCGGATCAAGGATTCAAATCTTTTTCTTGCGTGCGTCAACGTTAAAAGCGGTTAAACCAATCTCTTAGGGATTGCAGACCCCCCTCCCCTGCCCTCCCCCTCTTAAAACCAACCAGAGGAAAAGCCGGAGGCCTCCTTATCAACCAAGTCCACAATCCACTTTTTTTTTTTTTTTTTTTTTTTTTTTTTTTCTTCCCCTTCGGGTTTGGAAAAAGACGAACTCCCCGCCGTAATGGTTGATGTTATTGCCAGTAGCCAAGGCCACGTGGGGACCCTCACAAACCAAGAAAAAACAATGTCACGTCTCTTTTTCCCCTATACCGTCTTCACCCGAGTAGAAAGTTCTGTCATTTTCGCTGCATCTGGACTGAAAGTTGTGCCAAATACGGATACAATGACCGTACGTTCTATTCGGGGGAAGACGGTACGGAGTGCGTCCCGACGTCCTCCTGTATCAATGCAAAAGGTGCTCTTCATTTTCTTTTTTTTTTTCCTTTTTTTTCTTTTTTTTTCTTTTTTTTTTTTCTTTTTTTCCTTTTTTTTCTTTTTTTCCTTTTTTTTCTCGATTTATGCGTGTCATCCTGCGGGACATCCGTTAAAATTGGAAGGATACAGAGAGAGAAGATTAGCATGGCCCCCGCGCAAGGATGACACGCTCTTCATTTTCTGACACGAAATAAAGTACTCAAATGAAAGGGTTTTTTTTTTATTATTATTAATTATTCAAAAAATGGAAGTAAACACTCGTAAAAAATAGAAATAGGACATGTCAGCGGCCAGATCCCTCGAATACATAGTTATATAAATATTTTTTATTTAGCTCAAAAAAAAAAAAAAATTGACATCTACCTTGAGAAACGGAGAGAAAGGTTGCCCCCAGAACCGTATCTCGCACTTCGCCTCCAGCTGTCCCGCGATGATGACCACCTGTCCCATCCGGAAAACCTCCACCCTGAGAAAACCTTCACGACGGCCTTGGCTCTTTCGCTACCCACCACCTCTCCTCCTCGCTCCATCATCGTCGTCCTCATCATCATCATCATCGGCTTGATAGGTTTCGTCATCGCCATCGCCAGAGACCTAGCCATGGGTTGGGTTGCGCACCTGCGTACCTGGTCGTGCGCCGGCGGTCGCAGAGTGCGCACAGCACGCACGCCGTTCCTTGCACGGCAAGTCGTTTGTGCCCCTCCTGATGAACGTCGCACGAGCCGCAGGGAAGACTGCAAGATCGGGCCGGGACACGTCTGCCGCACAGCTTGTCGCCCATCGCGTGTGGCATAACCGATCCCCTCTCTCACTCCCTTGAAGGTCATGACAGCAGTTGGAAGATTGACTGCGGCGCGCAATGGCGGGCCAGGGCTGCCGCGCACCCGTCGCGACGCGCTCCCTCTGCTCCTCCCATTCCCGCATTTTCTTCTCGCCCAAACGCGCGACACTACCTGCTGACGTGCCGCCCAGGTCGCTCCCGCTCGTGTCCCACCTCCGCCGCACCTGGATGGCACCGCCGCCGCCGCCGTCGCCGCATATGCCGCCGCCGGCGAACTCGCCGCTGATGACAGCAAACGCCGCACAGTTATGGATGACGTCAACGATGACCTGTAGGACGAGGACAGCGATGCCGATCGGCCTTGGAGCAAGGATGTCGGCGGCGATGACGTCAACAAAAACGAAGAGAGAGAAGACCAGCAAGACGAGGAGGAGGAGGAGGAGGAGGAGGAGAAGGAACGAGAGATGCGCGAGAATGTGCAACTGCGCAAGGAGGAGGTGGCAGGAGATGCCGCCGCCGCCCACGACCCCGCCGCTGGAAGAAAAGAAGCAGCGGAAGCATCCGCATCGGCGCAACTGTCGGTAAATCTCCGCGCAAACGGAGACGAGCCTTGGCGACTTTGCCGCCGCACAAGCCGGGATCCCAATCGGCCTAACATCACTCCAGAATATGCCGATCGCCAAACCATATCACCACTTCTTTTCTTTTCTGTTTTTTTTTTCAATCAACTTTTCTCACTTAGGAAAGCGGGACGTGATCCAAAAAAAAGGGGAAAAAAAAAAAAAAAAAGGGAGGAGGAGATTCAAATGGCTCTTCGATTCAGCGAGAACTTGGTTTGGGGTTCCTACGCCCACACGACCGCACATTTCCAATCTCCAAGGACGGATGGGTTAATCACTCTTCTCTGTGAGCACCATCCTCATACTCAAGCTACTGTAGCATCAATGATCTCTCTAACAGCGAGCATGGCGACCATGCTGACACCGGGGCCTAGGTCCCACTTACATGAATTAAGCGATATTGAGCGTAGATAGCACAGATCAACGGCCAGATTCTCCTAATCCGTGCAAGTGGGACCTTGCCCCGGCCATGGATCTAGTCTAGTTAGATGCATTCATACATAGGCTCGAATACGTTCAATGCATAGCTATAGCGTTAGTCTGCTCTACATTCAGGGCATACTCACGCTAAAACCTTTCATCTTATTTATTTATGCAACTTCTTTAGGTCAGATGCATCCAACTACGGCCATAAATGTCACATACGTATAATAAGATATAGCTACGGTAGTGTGATTACGCCCTCAGTATAGTCCACCAAGTGTGACCATGTTCTGAATAGTACACACTAGATCGAACTCTCAATTTCTTTCTTTTTTTCTTTTTTTTTCTTTTTTTTTTTTTTTGACTCTCAAATTCTTATGATGATCAATAACCAGTTATTACAAAAGATTGTATTGATTCAGGGCCTCGCTGCAGTACTCTCGAATGTGCAAAACGAGAGTGAATCTTCCGCTAGAAGATGGAAACCATGATTTTTGACTTCTGTGCATGTCGAGAGTAGTGGAGCGAGCCCCTCAGAAACGGGCGTGGAGGGGAGGTGTTCCAGGTTTAAAAAAAAAAAAAAAAAAAAAAAACGACATTTTAAGACTTTGAATGCGTGATGATGATGATCGCGTTGCGAACGGCCGCGCTTCTCTAAGAGAAACAAAAAAGGGGAAACAAAAAGAACAACCGCTCTCCTTCTCGATCTGCCGCTCTTAAGCGCGATATATTGACCGTAGATAGGATCGCAAAGATCAACGGCCAGATTCTCGTAATCCGTGCACGTGGGACCTTGCCCCAGGGAGAATCAGATCTGAAATTTCAAAACGTGATTTCCTGGCCCCTTTTTCCCGCCTCAGCATCCTTCGTCGGCCGTTTTCCCGCCCTTTTGCCCCGTCTTCCCGCCGCCTGACTGTCCTTCCTCGCCCGCCATTCTGCCTCCTCTCACTGGCCCATCGTTCTCCCACCTCAGCGTCCTTGCTGAACCACGTTTTACCGCCTCCCTCATGTAGCCCACGTTTTTCCGCCAGCAGAGCCGTTCGTAATGGCCCGTTCTTTCCCGCCACCACAGCGTTCGATTTGCTCGATTTGCTCGATTTGTTCGATTTGGATGGTGAGAAAGCTGTCGCGACTACAGACACATGGATTTCCCGCCCCCACCTCCCAGCCACGGAAAATGCAACAATTTTGGAGGGAGCGAGAAGCGCCGTAGAAATGAAATTAGAGGGGAGGAGGCTTTCCCGCCGCCCAACCACACAAACACAAACTTTTGGAGGGAGTTCGATTTGACTTTCCCGCCCACACACACAAACACAAAATTTTGGAGGGAACGAGGAGCGCCGCCGTTGAAATGCAATCAGAGCGGAGGAGGCTTGGTGTGGAAATTTGCGGTTTGTCATCTTTCGGCCGCAGGCGGGGGCCTAGTCTAGTTGTAGTTACCTACAACGGTGGGACAAGATTGAATGAAGGGAAAGCTATGTGTGACACAGTTTTAGGCGGGAAAGTCTCTCCTTTTCACTGTGTCCATTAGATTCTGACAGATCCAACGTGCTCTGTTACTTTGGCTCTCACCTTTCTCCCAGAGGATGTGAAGGGAGAAGAACTGCATCATTGTATTGGTGTTAGTGAGTAGGACTCCAACTCAGGATCTGTTGAAACAGATTTGCTGGTGGATCTCATGATGAGGATAGAGGAGCTCTGACCTCTGACGCTCCAATAGAAAACTGGCTCTGACAGAGGAAGGACAAGTAGAGAAGAAAAAGAAAAGAAAAGAGGGAAAATCTATCGTGGCCCAGCTATCGAGTTTGAGCCTCGGCCGACCGGTACGCCGACCCTTGCCGAGGCTCGGACTACCAGGCGCAGGCATCCCGAACGTCGGCCTGAAAGGTGCCAAAAAAATGGGAAAAAAAAAAACGAAACGGGAAAAATAAAACGAAAAAAAAAAAAAGAAATAAAAAAACGAACGGTTTCAGAGAGAGAGAGAGAGAGAGAGAGAGAAAGAGAGGGGCAGCAATCTCTCTCTCTCTCTCTCTCTCTCTCTCTCTCTCTCTCTCTCTCTCTCTCTCTCTCGCTCTCTCTCTCTCTCTC